AGCAATTGTGGGGCCTATCCCATTCCCAGCTGGACACGCTGGGCTCTCCAGGGCTGATGGGACTAGCAAGACTACCAACACTGATAAACGTTTCCCCAAGATCGTGCAAAATGCTCGATCCTACGGCAAGGTTCATCTTTTTGCGCGCCCAGTTATCGATAGACGAGTTTCGAACATGCAAACTTTGTTGCACTTTTCTACGATTCCTTCGTAGTCCCGATATAGCGTTACATCGAAAACAGAACGGATGCCCGGGCCAGAGCAGGCCACAGACAAGGTCTAATTTTCCTGTTGGGTTGGCGTCAAAGTTCATGTCACGGCAAAACTTCGCGTCAGGCACAGTACCGGCCTTTGACAGGTCCTGCGAGCAAGTCCGTGGCCAGACGAGCTAAGCTTCCGCTCCCGGAGCCCAGAGGCATTGAATTCACGCCATGCAGCGCCCACGGCCGTGGCTCCCTTCCCATGCATCGCTGCTGAGGTGCTGAGCTGACCCAACCTGCCCTCAAGACCTACCTATGGTGGTGACGACGGTGGCCGAAAAGAAGAAGCTCTGGCCGAAGCTCCAGTTGGAGCCGCTGGAGATGTTTTTGGAGGCCGACACACCCCGGTTGTTGGCGAGCACCACTTCAGTGATGAGATCTTCCAGGTCGGACTCTGGGGAGCACGGAGCACATCGTCAGCTTACGCGAGACCAGCTGGGACAGCGGGTGGTGAACTTATCCAGAGTACGCTACAAGTAGCACAGTATGAGCTGGTCCGTCCAAGAAATGCTACAAGTAGTACAGTGCGAGCTAGTTCGTCCAGGAAATGCTACAAGTAGCACAGTGCGAGCTAGTTCGTCCAGGAAATGCTACAAGTAGCACAGTGCGAGCTGGTTCGTCCTAGGAAATGCTACAAGTAGCACAGTGTGAGCTGGGTCGTCCAGGGCACGCTACAAGTAGCACAGCGTGAGCTGGCTCGTGCGGGGAATTGTGAGATAGCACATTGTGAACTAGCTGGTCAAGGGGATGCTACAAGCAGCACGATGAAAGCTGGCTCGTCCAGGGAATGCTACAGGTAGCGCAGTGTGAGCCGTCTCGTCCAGGGAATGCTACAGGTAGCACAGTGTGAGCTGGGCTGCAACGGTCGGTTGGAAACACCAGAACGCCGCCATCGTCGCGTTCAGGTTCTCCGGTGCACGCCTCAGGAGATATGTGGTAAAAGCACGAGTCCTTGATTAACCCGGCGAGATGAGGGTGGCCTCGCCAGGGGTTGTCTGCAAGCATGACCCAGCTGAGGGCGTTCTACCGAAGGGCTGGAAATAGCAATATCGCTGATAAATCAAACTACATCATATCGGTCACTGCAAAGTGCTCAACGCAGTTTTACAATATCACCGGTTGGTTTGGCGTCATGTACCATTTGTGTTAGGAAAATAAGGTACGTATGTGCACGACCCTCAATCTGCATGCTGACTTCAGGACACAGTTCCTCATACTACGATTGGTGGAGAGCTTTTGCTATAAAACATACATGACAGTCGTCAGCATCCACCACCTGTATGTGTGCAAAGGAGATCCTATTCCGTGCCGCCGTAACGCGACTGAGTTTGATACCACGCGCGTTAGATGTCAAAGAAGTACTCACATTGAGTCATACAGCTCTCCGCTTTTCTCCTGCCAGACCCAATGCCGCACGCTAGCAACAGATATTCTTAATTATCAAGAGAGGAGCTTACAGATAATAGGCTATGTAGCTTTGTTACTCTTAATATTTAAGCTCGGCATTGTGTAAGTAGAACAACGAGGTCGTTGCAAAATATTTCATGCGGTCTACGGGGTGTACGCGTTTTTTCAGTTGTTTCTTACGTGTGGATAGGCAACACACCAAACGACCTCCTTCATTTGTTCTGGCAACCGATTAAGGTTCCAAGGCGATATGTCTTAACATAGCCGATTAAGTCGACACCGAAGTATCTCTGACATCATTGCAAATGTGTAGTTCGTGTGGTCGCAAAGGTTGCAATTTCCGTCACATTTTAGACCCGACATTCCATGTCATGATCATTCCACGCACTGTAGCCATTTAACCCTGCAACATCCTGGAGAGTGTCACTAGACGTGTCCTAGTGGTCAGTCCCTCCAGTTATAGAGACAGGAGCCAGACGGTGGGGACCGTGGTCCTCTCGTTTGCACGCACGCTGAACATTGGCCATATGGCCCTGCACGGAAAGAACCGACAAAGGAGTAATTTGACTCCATCATTTTTGGGAAAGGCATTGCGATTTCCGACGTATGGCATCTAGGTAAGTTAGTATGTGTCAGTTTGTGAAGTTATCTGGGACAACACTTTTTCGCATTACAAGGACATCTCAGACTTACTGACCTTTAGCTGCCGGAAATTCCCTTCAAATTTGCTGCTTCTGAGAGCTTTGCGGAATTCCCAAGCACGCTGGAGCTAGTTTATTCAATCATATTATCATTTTGCATTAACCGGCAAAAACATGGCATGATTGCATACCTGTCCGACACAGCCCCTACAACCATCACCGAAATTCTCGCATTATATATTTACACATCTTTACCGAGAGGAACTCGTTACAGCAGCTTCGCTGTTCCGCCATCTATCAGCATGGTCTACCTGTGCTAACTGGACTGCCGGCACTAGGTTGAATGGGCTCGTCTTCATCTGAAGAGTTTTCTCGACAACGCGTTCCGTCCTGAGAACATTTTTGCGTCGGGTGTGCGTCGAGGACCCGGCGCTAATTTCTTGAAGGATCAGGGTTCGTGGTTAGTTAAGACATCTGAATTATTAGATGAGTATATTCAAATGTTTCGAAACTGCGCATCATCCGCTATATTTGAGTTTAGGGAAGTTCGCGCCGGTCTTGCCTCATTCATGCACGATGTCAACCGAATTGTAAAAATGCGACACTGGATGCCAGCAACGAAACCCTGCTATGTTTGCAATCCATGCTAAAACTACACAACGGAAAACAATTGGGTGTAACTGAAGATTTGTTTAAAATACATGTGCAGAAAGCGACGCCATTGTGTGCTGCTTTCCACGCACATTTCCCTTTTCGCTGGCTTTCAGTTTGATCTCTGTTGAGCTTCTGAAAAATTATGGCTTCATCCAGGGCAGCAAATTAAAGCTCGGTTATGTATGGGATAGCGTCAACATGCCCGTGCTGCCGTGTTTAGGTCTACCGCTAAGTCCAACCGCGAAACGAAGCAACATACTTTGTTTCGAATTTGTACCGCAGAGTGGTGTACACCATTGGAGCGCCAGCACTGCACTGCAGTATAAACACGTCACTTATCAAAAATCCTTCAAGATATTTGTTTGGGTTCGCGCATCCTCTGAAAAAACATTTGAGTCGGGACATTCGGCTACAGCACTGCACCCACTCTCCCTTCCCCCTCCCCCCTCCCAATTCCTAAGGGATGTCCAGTTCAGCTTGTTTGTTCAGCTGTGACTTAGAAGTGGCGAGGCGAAGCATCGACTTGACGTTTTCTTCGGAAAAGCCTATTGTCTCGGCTGTTTGGGACATTCGCTGCTTTGGTCACGGAGCAGCTTTGAGCGCGGCACAATACAGAACCAACAAACGCACAGCTGTGAAGTGCTCAGTCTTACCAAAAAACAGGACATAAGATGTTTTTTTCTCTTTAAATCTTTTATCTTAAAATGCAGCTGGCAGCGACAATATAAGTGTTTTGTTTTCGTGCACGGCGAACATCACGAGCTCTACCGATCCAGAATGTTGCACGTGACTATGTCAAGCCCCATAGTCTGTCCCATACAGGTCCAAGGTGTCAGCATTTTGGGTCGGAGAGAAATCTGGACAACTACTTCTACCTTGAACTTCTCAACAAAGCCTTCCTATAGTTGCGTCTGAAGTTTGAACCTCCTCAAAGGCTCGGAATCAAACGACCACGCGAAGCCAGCAAACAACTTAAGGGGAGCGCGCCACACGTTGAACAACCTTCTCCACCTTTGAAACGTCAGGACCAGTGACGTTTCGTAAAAGCTCTGGGGAGCACCACTACAGCATCAGCAGGACATAATGAACAAATTCATTTGAATTAGTTTTTAGTCCAGATCACACAGTTTCATTTCGTCACAGCACCAGACTTCTGTCTTGCTGTGTAGGCCTGGATTTCATTTCTGTCACGGGCACTCTTGGCGCACGCAAGACATCCAGTTACAATATTCATCGCAGCGTCAGAGGCTGTGCGCATAATTTCACTTCTATCTCGTTCGCAACTAGCACGGAATTTGGCATGTCACACCCGCGGGCCCGCAAGGGGGGCAAAAAGAGCTCGGAAATGGCACCTCTATCCCGTAACAGCGACGACGACCGCAGAATCAGCTGCGCGCCGTCATCAGCTGTTACGGACTAGATGTACTACCTCCGAGCCCGTTTTACTCCGCTTCGAGGGCCTCCTGCCTTATGGGTGCCACCTCTAATACCGATGACGTCGGTGGAAATTACTGTTTATGATGGTACAGAAGCCGACATAAGCCATTTGGTGAGAAATGCATTGTTGGAAGTTTGAAGCAGGGCGCCATGGGCCATGTGACATGTCGCTGGCATGTACATGCTTTGTAAACACAGGGTTGCAAGTTGCACCAATCCCAGTGTCAACGTAGTAATACCCAAAGCCAAAATGCACTTTGAATAGAGCCACTGTAAAAAATGCCGTGGAGATCAAAGTCATAGTATATGTCGCTGAATCCGCGTGATGACAGCCCAATGTTTGTCCATTCTTTTCCTTCAATAGAGTTTTCAAGCCCTCATTGTAACTGTTGCACAGTCATTTTGGCCAATCGTGGTATTGCTAGGGGTCTGAGTTATTCAGAAGAATTTCAAGAAAGCTGACATAACATATCAAATCGGACGCGTGTGAGCTGGCATTGGGTGAAAAGCCCAAAAAGGTGCCATGTCTGTTCCCTTTTAAAGGAAGTGTACCACTTTTGGAGCATATTCCAAAAACATAATCTTGTGAAACCTTAGAACCAGTCACGTCTAAAAAAAGTACTGAGTAGTGCCACTGTGGCATCGCCAAGACATAAGGATATCAATTTTAACTATTTTCAAGCCCCATTTACGCTGCCCATGCTTTGTAACAGCACTACACTTCTTCCCTATAGCTGTCGCGACCACCATCATCATGAAAACTGCCGTGGCGCCTCTACTGGTGTGAATAAGAGCACGTTTGTGGATGGCCCAGAAGGGCGGCAAGGGCTTGCTCCCGAGAAGCCCATTGGTTGAATTTTGAAACAGTGCGTCACTCTGGATCATGTGATACTCTCATTCCCAAAGCCGAAGCGCGCCTTGACAAGTGTCACTGTGGTAAACGCCATAGGAAAGAAATCAAAGTCATAGTGTAACATGTCGTTGAATTCGGGGGATAACAGTTTCAGGCCCGCTTTTGCCATTGTCTAAACAGGGTGTTTCGAGCTTTCGTAGCATGCAGCACACAACATTTTGATAAACTAGTGTATTGCAAACATTACAGAGCACACACGCCGGAAAAGTAAGGCCAATGAAACGTATTACTTTCATAGTGGTGGGCAGAGTCCAACAAGATTTTTTCCGCAGGAAAGGGCTACTTCAAAACAAATCTCTGAACGATTCAGAAAGATTTCAAGAAAACTAGAGAGGCATTACGGATCACATCGGACGCGTTGGATCTTACAATAAGTGGAAGTACAAAAAGGTGGCATTCTCCCATTAGCAATATCCGCCGGGCGAATACCTGCCGGCTCTGAAATCGAAACGTCCCGTCGACAAACAGCGCGTCCGGCAGTTGCAGCCAGTTCGGGCTGGCTCCGACGGCGCGCGTCGGAAAACGACGCGTCACCGCCCCACGATAACAGACTCGCGTCGGCCGCCTGCACCTGCTCACCCACCTGGCACGCACTTGTGCTCGCGCAGAAAGCGGGCTACGCTGTCGGTCAGCTGGCGGCGCAGCAACGCCTCCGACGGCGCCTCCAGCAGCGCGAACACGGCCGCGCCGACCGCCAGCAGGGCCAAGTACGCCACCGAGCACCACGCCAGCATGCACGTGCTGCGCCGCACGCCCAGCCAGCGGAGCACGTGCGCACGCGGCGCCAATTCCAGCCGTTCGTACGCCACGGAGCCGTACCGCTCGACCGCCATGATCCCAGCAGCGGAGGGACGAACGGCTGCGGGCTGGAGGGGGGACGGTCGCGGGGGCGCAGCTGCGGGCGTGCCGGAGCAGCGGTGGGCGCCGCAGCAGAGTCCTTCGCTATGGGTCGCAGGCGGCGTCCCGTCACCTGTCCCACACACTGTCGGGCCGCGCCCTGGCCTCCTCTGCTGTTCGGCACTGGATATTCTCGCTCACTCTCACGTGGTGCGGCGGCGCGTGGCAGTCCCTTCGCCTCGTTGCTGCGTGTAGAGTGTGGGTCTGGTGACGAAGCCCCGCGCGTGGGGAGCTCGCTGCTGACACCCGATACGTTTGGTGGGCGCAGCGGACACCGCGAGCCAGGCGGGCCCCAGCCGATCCCGGCGGGCCCCAGCCGAGCCCAGTGGGCCCCAGCCGAGCTCCCAGGCCGCCGCAAACGCCTCCCAAACGAACTGTGCCAAGGTTGTCGGGGTCAAAGAGATGTTCGCTACGGGCGGATGTGGACCTCGGACCGGCCCGTGCTGGGCGATAACCCAGGCAGATAGCCGGCGACGGCAGTTATCCAATTACTGGCCGTGCGCGGAGCTGAATAAAAGCCCAACCTGTGGGTATGAGGCGGTCATGCAGTGTTGACACTCCGGGACAAATTTACAAACCCAGTAATCGATAAAAGGTCAGCAAAAATTAATAATTGACACAACAATTACCTGGGCGCAGACTGAGTGGTATTGAAAGGAGACGCGGAAAACAACGCGGAATTTGACAAGTTCAACAGCAAATACTTAACAACATTGGGAAAAAGCACAGTCGTTGATAGAGGTTTCGTCCATGTGATATCGCTCAGGTCTAAGCGAGAGATTTTCTTGGAAGAAGACTTTTCAAATGGTGCTGGCAAAGTGAGCAGAGATTACATGTTGCTGTTGCATGACACAATGGCTTTCCGCCTGCCAACGGTCGTTATCCGCTAGAAAATTGCAACTTATGGAATAAATGAATAAAAATTGCTAACCAGCTCTCTTCGTCAGCATGGTAATGACAGCGAAAAATGACTGATTCCATAATAAATGAGGCCACAAAGTTTGAAACCCGAATGTTATGAATGAACGCGGTGGAAATTAGAACGCACTTCTTCCAGGAGCCGCTCACGGGATGAGCCGCCTGGCGCTGGGCTGGACCATGCTTCTCATGACGTTACAATACCCATGCCCATGCCTGGGACCAAAGAATACTATGGTAACGCTTTAGACGGGGCGAACTTCCACAAACGTTGCTGGGAGGGGGGGGGGGTGCTAATACAGGCGACTACAGTCCCGTTTCACGCTATTTCCAGTATATCACGGATAAATGCTTTTCTTTCGAAGTTGCATGGGATTGACGGCAAGGTTGGAAGGCTGGAGCCTTTCCAACTTGGTATTTGATGCGTGACTGGCTATTATGTAACAAAACGACGGGACTACGGTCGAACCTATCACATTTCCTTTTGGCCTCCTTCATTCGATTTCCTTCTTCACAGGTCTTCTCTCTCCGAATTTAACGTAAAAGGCCACAGCTCGATGAATTAAACGCAAAAAAGAAGAGTGAGCATAATTACAGATAATCACATGGTTTGGCATCCCCACCAAACGGTAGTTGTAGGCCTGATCTTCTATCACGACGTTACGCGCGAGTCACGGATCACGATCACGAACATCCGGCGGGCTCCGGAGCCTCAGTCGGCGGAGCCTGACAACCACGCCCGCGTGGCTGAAGACCGGCCCGAGTCGGCCCTGAAGCAGAGTTGCAGTTGCAGCCGCTGCCCCGCCCCTCGACACAGCCACTGGCGGCAACCGAGGGACCTGCACCTTGGTTGACCGCGGTCCGTTCCGGTTCCACGCACCACCCTCGTCGTGCCACGGCGGCTCACGTATGTCAACACGCTTCGGAAACACTGGCACGGAACACGCCGCCCGAAACGATGCCCAGCGCCCTTGGCGCGTCGCTCACTCACGCGGCGAGCCTGAACCGGTCCGCTTGGGCCGACAACAGCAGTCAGCTGACTCGTGCCCTCGAGGCGTGACGTCACAGCAGCAAACGGCCCTCAGCGCTCGGCCATGTTTTTATGCTATTTAGGCTGTGCCGCAGCACACCTGGGCGCGCTGGTGGAAAGTCTACCTCGCCTTTATGTTTTCAGAGACGTCCAGACATCCCTTGTGGACTGAGCAGAACTGCCACTTAAGAGCCCGCAGACTCGCTACGTGCGGCCGCAGTGCTTTGGGCGGGTAAAAAAAAGCCCGCAGTGCTTTGGGCGGGTATTGCTGGCTACATTGCGGCCATTGGCGTGTATTCAAGAACTAAATTATCCTACTGGCGTTTTCTTAACCACAAATGTATACAAATATAATCAATTCGTAATTGTTGATAGCAAATCATGATGAAAAAGAGATTTTTTCCCCAAAAATGATACAAACGAGAACTTATTTTGCATTATATTTTCTACATTTTTCGACTGTGGAATGCATGTCATTTCACAACCAGATTACACATGACATACTGCAGTTTCAAAGGTAGACTACCGTGGACTAATAACTGCCCAGCCCGCAGTAAGGTACATTTACTTAACTTTGAAAGCTGAGGTATGTAATTCCAATGCACGAGCAACAACCATCCTGAAGTAAAAAGATAAAAAGCCCTGAAGATTGAATGTGCGATGAACCTTAAGTAAAATGGCTACAACTAGGTTCAATGCAGGCCTAACATTCCAGACAAGATCTGATGCTCTAAAACGCAGGCCAGGTTTAGCTAATGTCAAGCTTTGTTTAAAACGGATCGTATTTCAGGTTAAGGCGACGGAGGAAAGGCATCTGCAAAGGGCGGATGGTGGGACACTAGGGCCATGCACCACGTTGTGATCAAACTTCTCTAGCTATTTTGTATTCTCAAACAGACGCTCAACTCCTCCGCTAAGCGACGATCCATGTCCCTTGTCCACAAACCAGGCCCAATGCGTTTTTTCAGGCATTCCATTCGTACACTCGCTAGTGCACTTCCGCCTTTCCAGCCTCCGTCCAGTCTCTCAAGCCACTCGGGTGTTAACTTACCATCGCCAAAGCTACGTTGGTTACCATTGACATGGTCGAGAAATGCGGCTTAGTAATGCATAAACCGAGCCGGCGTCTTAAAAGTCAAGTGGTCGTATTGCCTGAGGCGCTTCTCGTTAAAAGATACGCGTCACATACGGCCTTACGACGTCGGCTTCTTTGATGTTTTCCGTTCATGCTTAGCTACTTAGTTCCCACCTTAGACGAGGACGCAGACGCATCATGGTCATTTCAGGAAATTTTTGTTAGACAGATGCGCTGTGTTGCATTGCAAGGGCAAATGCATTCTACTGTTATGCTAAGATAAACCACGCACAAAGACATTGATAAGTATCAATAACAGCAAACTTGCATACGTTTCCGTCTCCCTTGCCTTTGCCCCTACCATCATCGATGGACTTAATGAAACGCCACCTCTGTCTCATCGGCTGCAAAAAAAAATAGATGGCACTGGCGCGGTTGAAAGCTGTTTGAGACATTGTTTCGCGTTAACTTTTTGTCAAAAACATTCGCGAACATACCGTTGTCACGTGCTGCGACGCAGCAGACGACCTGCGTTCGGGAAAAATGTGATGACTGGTGAAGGTGAGCAGCCCCTGATGGTTTGAGTTTCTGTCCTCACAAAAACCCCAAAGGGTAAACAAACGATAAAGTAAACTGGAAGTAAACACTGAGTTGCATGATGAATACATTTTATGATGAAGACCAGACATGATGTAAGTCATTTCTCACATTCGTATGAATACCTATACCAGCTTGCGGGTCTCAAAGCGTGGCCTGCAATAGATCATTACAAAACGGCTCTCTGGCGAAACATGAAAACCACCTGAACCTAACTGCTACGACGCGACGTTCAGGCGCCGCCCGCTACCAAGTCACCAGAACCCACATTTCTTTTCCGTTCACGACCGGCTCCCAGCACTGGTTGCCATGTGTCCACCTTCAGATCCGCCCCATCTGTACTGCAGCTGCCTTGGCCGTCTCATGGGACACCGCGTCCCAGTGGCATTTCGCCTGCCCGGTTCGTGCTCGGGGCACATCGCGCCGCTTCGCCGCCAGACGTCGATGGGCGGCGGTCGATCGGTGCGGCTCGGCGTGATGGAGGAAGGGACTCCCGGGAGGAGTCGAGCCGCAGACGCCGTGGAAGGAGGCCCCGGAGACAGAGGACGTCACGGGCCCGAGATGGTGGAGCCAACACGCGGCTCGCGGGCCAGGCTCCAGCCATTTCCGTTAGTCGAGACAATCGCCCATGTAAGACAAATAGGACAAAGCCGACAGCGGTGATAAAGCGGAAACGGCACTTATTCACACCGCCAGCATGAGGACTGTCTCGTGCATCAGAAATGCGCCGGACGGGGGTCAACCATCTCCGAAGCGGGCCATCGATCGA